TATTAGTTATTCTATCTATGAAATTTAACCATTTTCTTCTATTACTTCTTTTATTTTCTAATTTCATTTTATTAACAAAACTTACAATTGCTTCACAATCTGTTCTTAAAGTAATTTCTCTTTTAGAAATAATAAATAATTCAAAAGAATCTAATGCATAATTAACTGCAAGTAATTCTAAATCTATACTGCTTATATTACCTTTTTCTTTATAATTTCCACTATTATATCTTACAATTTTTTCACTATTTTTATCTGCATATTTATTGGGTTTTGCAATTAAAATTGCTCCCCATCCTGTTATACTACCATCTGTTTCTATAATTAAATAATCTGTTTCTAATGGCATAGATAATTTAGGTAAATCTTTTAATGTTTCTTTTATTTTTTGAACTAATTTAATATCTTCTATATTAAAGTATCTTTGACCTTTTGGTGAAGTTTTTCCATATAAAGGTCCTGCAATTTTTCCTAGGTTTTTAATAAAGGGTCTAGCATAATTAACTAATTCTAAGAATTTTTGTAATTGTTTAAGATCTTCTAATTTATTTGGAAACTCTAAAGCTTTCTGAGCTATATGTGGTTGTAACTCTATTTTTCCTTTACCTATATTTACTCCTAAAAATTCTATATATTCTTTAAATAAAAACATTTTGTTTTTATTTATAATTAATATAATTGAAAGGGTTATTTTGGTAAATGGAAGATGAGGAACTGGGGTAATTTGAACCATATCCTTTTCGACGGCTTTTTCTCCAGTCTAAATGCTCTCACATGTGAACAGTAAAACGTCATCTTCAAAGTCGAGAGTATATTGTTATAAAATACTGCGTTCCAATCAGAGGCTAAACAAGGTTGATGATTGACTTTTATTTAGGGATGACAACTGGATGAATCGACGTCAGCGTAGTCATTCTTGTTTTCTTGTGTCATTCGGATTTTTTTTCCCTTTGCCTTTACTAAAATATCATCTATGTAAACTATAATAAATTTATTATGCTTACTAAAAATACTATCCATTTTTCTTTGAAAAATACTAGGAGCATTTTTCAGTCCAAATAGTGCTCACAGGCGGGGCGCACCTCCTGCCCTTTTTATCGTCCTCTTTTTTATTATTATTTTTTCTTTCATTTTTTAATGTATTTAGTTGGTGAAAATCATTGGTATTTTTCAATTTTTAGAATAGTTCATATTTCCTTTAATGATGATGATTCTTTTCTTGTTATGTGATCAGAAACTTATATCTTGAAATCGACTTTAAATTAGTTTGGAATTAAGTTCTCTGCACCTATCTCGTCCTCGCTCCACGGCAAAACACCTATCCCGCCTTGAGTACCGATTAAGCGAGGAATTCCGCCCCGTTCAGATTTGGGCCCTCGTTGATATTGAGTTTAATGAGTTATTTTTTTATTTTTTTTTTAACATCCCTCGGTTTTAAGTTTCTCTTATCAAAAAGCAAGTAGTACAATTTTTTCTACTTTTATATGCATTCTAAAGTCTTCCTGATCTTGATTTGTTGCTTCAATATTTTTTGTTTTTATTATATATTCTGGATTTTTAATGTTTAATTCACATAAAATTTTATAAATCAACTTAGGGATTAACATTTTCCATTTCACATTTCAGAAAAAGGGTCAGAGAAAATTTCAACCAATGGAGCCAAAATTTAATTTCATTCACCTTCACAGATTGTCATGTGGATGATATGAAGATAGATAGCTGTCTTGCTGAATTTTATCATAGAATGTAAATGTCGGAGAATATATATATATATATATATATAGGTCATATTCATTATCTTATAGGGTCAAGGATTAAAATGTCGAATCGAAGTTAAACTGGGGTCGACCGGAAAATTAAGCCCCTGTTTGAGTACCATTATTCTAAAAATTCTTTTTTAAAACTCATTTTCAACTATACATTCTTCAATAAAATAATATTACATGCAAATTTTAGAATTTTTCCTTAATTTTTAACTACATATTCTCCATCAATCACTAATTAAAAATGCATTATTCTCATTGAGATGGGGCTCAAACAAGTGCTAAATTAATTAGTTAAATAAAATATTGTATAGATATGTATTGTTTAAGAAAAAATTAATTACTATATGGATATATGCTTTTAAAAAATTAATATTAAGTTTATTAATATTTTAAATTTTTAACATGTGTTAATTAATTTTTAATAACCATTTATAATCACGAAAATTAAATGGGCCAAAAAAAATTACATAATAGAATGGCGCAATAAATTTATAAATTATAAGCCTTGAAACTACGAACATATGATATCTCAATCTCAGTCGTCTTTCTTCTCTATTTTTTGCAGTCGGCAGCTTTCTCCATTTTTTCATGGCGGCACTTCTTTTTCCTAGGATGCTTCTTCTTTTTCCTCATGTTTTCCAGGCGATTTCTCTGTTTATGAGTTGAAGTCTTTCGACAATTGGACAAATTAGTCTTTGTATGCCTTTTTTTTTTCTTTTTTTTTTTTAATAGAGATAACCAGAAAACTCTACAAAACCGTATCCAGTTTGTTGATTTTAGGTTGAACCGACCATTTTTCCTGGTTTTTAACGGTTTATATATTCCCGGTTATAAGACAACTATTGAATCGGTTGTCAGACCGGTTCGCTATTTTCCTAATTGAACTGGCCTGTCCAGATCGATTTTCAAAACGCTAAAAATTTCATGAAATATGATACAATTTATGCATACTTTCTCAAGTTATTTTTGTAATATTATATAGTGTAATTATGATTTCTCCCCTTTTTAAAAAGGCCCTAAATTTAAGCCCTTGTGTTGAGTCCCATTTTAAGGAAAAAATATATATTTCAAAAAATATTTGGTTAAAAAATAAGAATTTTTTTTTAACGTGTAATAAATAATATGTGATTGAAAATTAATTTTTGAAAAATGAATTCTTGATAAAATGAAGCTGGGCTACGAGTATACGTCTAAAGATTCCAACATAAATAGAGACTTCCTAACTTCAGGTCCATCGGACATATCCTTAGTTAGCCCTAGCCCAATTTTTTGGGCCATTAAGAGTATAAGGTGCAATCATTGGGCCTTGTAATACTATTGTTTTTTTGGGGAAGGAGCTCTAGGAAAAAGAGAAAAAAAAAAAAAAAACAAATGTGAAAATTTATTATTGGAAAAATTGTAGCGGAGGTCGAAAATCTTTTAATTTATTGTAGAATACACTTTAACCTTTTATTTTTGTAGTCTCAATTTCAAACCTTTCACTTTAACGACAACGAAAGTCCGTTACGCAGCAGAGGAGAGAGATTTGGATTTTTGGCGCCTTACTTTCCCCAAAATTTTCTATTATCAAATCACAACCGTCCACAGCATTTTAATCCTGGCTGTACACGTCACTTTGTAATCTACTTTTGTCAAGGGACTTGGGTTGTCTAGCATTATTGATCCTGAAAACTATACCTATAGTAATACCTTTTTCCCATCAGTCTGGTACAAAAATGGTTCTAGGCATCTCCGTTTAAAGATAAATGATAACTTTTTTGTGGCAGGCAACTCCAAAATTTTCTCTAATTAGCTTTGACAGTGTCGATTAGGCATCATATACAGATGATAGAAAAAAGCACAATAGGTAATTATAATTTTCTTGGTCCTAATCTTTTATCTCAATGATTTCAAAGATGGATATGAATGTGCAGTGTCTTTCTGAGGTTGTTCAATGGGTGACGATGGGATTCATGTTTTTGGTTTGGGGAAAAAGTAGAGTGGGGGCTCTATGAAGATGAACATTTCCATTTTTTTGTATATTTAATTATTTTAAAGTTTTACATTATAAAAAATATAATTTGACCATTTTACACCTCATTTAAATTTTCAATTTTGAGTCAAAATTCCAATTTTAATGTTGACTAATGGAATTGTGGACGGATTCTGTCCAATGGACTTCAACTACCTTTAAAGTATAAGGTTTGAAATTGTGGTCGCAAAAATAAACTTAAGGTGTATTCTACAATAAAATTGAAAGGTTTGGGGACCTCCTCTACAATTTTCCCTTTCTTAGTTTAAGTGTAGCACTCCAATGTTCATTTAATTGATTATACAGCAGATATACGCGAAATCCTTGAAAAGGAAAACGGTCAATAATGTCCGAAATGGGCAAAGTTGCTAAAATACTACAAATTCCAGCAAGATCAAGACACTATCTAATTTGGACATTTTGATCTGGTTTAAATAATTCAATGGAACAAATAGAAACGAGTGATGATGAAGGGTTGATTTTGGAAGGTTTAAAAATGGTGTATAGATGGAAATGACAACATTACTTTAAACGACGTTGATTGATAGATTTGAAACGTGACACGTATGGTATTATGAGAGTATATGATAAATTCATCCGATAAATAATTTCATCATTAGAATGAAATTATCGTGAGTTCGTGACATTCAGAATTACAATAATCTATATAAAAACTTGTGTGTACATATTTGAATCGAGAATCACGTGTCCGTGCATATTTATTTTGAAATCAATAAAGCAAATTTTAACGCTTTTCAAAGTGTATTGATGAGTGAAAAGAAGTAGTAGAAGAAAATAGAAACAAAATCTTGTTCCACAATCCTCGTCAAAATTTACTCGTTGTCCATCCAGCTCGAGTCATTCCTGCAATCCGCACACCTCATATCTACCTTATCACCTTCGTAATTCGCTAAAATGTGCTTTGCATGACCGCTTATGTTCTAAGACTCATTGTACGTTAGTCTATAATACTTTTTAAAAAATCGAGCATCTACGCACTACGAACCTTAGCACTTTTTAAAAAATTGAATATCTAGGCACTACGAACCTTAGGCGCTTCTACAACTCTTTTTAGTATTTTTTCTCCACCAAGTTGCTCTTCCTCCTTCGATGCGACGGACTCCAAGGGTAATTTTTATTTTTAGTTTCTTTCATTTTCTATAGCCAAAAAATGAATATGCGTATTTGCGTATAATTGGGTATTCCATAAATTTTTTTAACCATTAACATTCAACGACAAGTCTACAAGCGTGGACTCAAATTCTAATTACAAAACATGAATAAAGTTTGGAATTCCCATTCAATTATCTCCCAATTTCTACGCACTCAGTTCGAATTCACAATTCTGCAGTTGTCTTAAACACCCGACTTGACATACAACAATGGTGGAAAAACCCTACAGTGTGTAATGAGTACAGAGAATCCAAAACGACACTTTATTCCGTTTTCAAGCTTCGTAAAACGCATTTGGGATGCCCCTAACAGCATTGTGGTACAGAGTGATTTTGTAAATAAATGGCATTCGATATAAAGCCACAATTTTTTACACACTAACCCCCCCAACCCACATACAAATGGTCAGTTGAAGCCCTGACATCGTATTAAAAGTTTTTAAAATCTTCTGCAAAAATTCTTTGCTGCCCACATCATTTCTTGGTGATTAACAGAAAAAATATATATATATAAACCAGAGAATGGAGGTCCAGGACGAAATCACGTTAAACCCATTAAAAAGATGTTTTGAAGACATGGACTCCAAGCCCCAAACAGGCGATGAAACCTCTATACCTAGCGAGTAAGTGCTGCTTTTTAAAATTTTTTTTATGCAAAATAATTTATGGGCTTGTTTAATTTTTATGTTGGTGGTGTTTTTGTGATTTTGATTCGTTTGGTTGCATGCATGTCAGATATGAGAGGAAGGTGTATGAAGTGGCAATGAGGAGGAATACAATAGCAGTGTTGGAGAATGGGGCTGGGAAAACCTCGATACAAACTATGATGATCAAAGAAATTGGGAAAACTTTAAAGAAAAATAAGGGTGAAAAAAAGTTGATTATTTTCCTAACACCCACTGTTTCTCTTGTTCATCGGGTATGCCCTTTCTTCAAATTTGTTAATAGGCATGTATTTTGTTTATTGTTTGTTTGTAACTTCATTTCAGTATTGTCGTATTTATGATTTACTGGATTTTCCTTAGTTTGATGTTTATTTTCCAATGTGTCTTTGTGATTAAATTATCACTTATAATTTCGAAATAGTTTTGATATTTTGTTGTATTTTATGGTTGTTCTTTGATTTTCTCCGTCTAACCAATTTTCCCGAAACCTCCAATTGATGAAAGACTGTGTTTGGCAGCCTGGTGTCCGAACTAAGAAGAGATGAATTCAAACATAGAAGTTCTACTCATTTTCGGTTCCAAGGCCCCAATTCGACATTTTTCTTTTTTGGTGACATTCCCAATTCCATGTTTATGAAAAGCACAAAGCACATTAGTAGTATTAAGCAAACAGTTTTTGTATTGTTTTCTTTTGTAATTATATAACGAGTCATATTTATCTGTTAAACAAACATTTTTCTATTTGTCGTCATTACATATAGTATAGTTAGACTCACTTATCTTTTGGAAGAAACTGTATATTATAAATTTGTCAAGTTTAATCCTATTGATTGTACATTGCAGCAATACGAGGAGATAAAATCTCACACAGAGCTTGAAGTGGAAGAATACTACGGAGCCAAAGGGGTTGATGAGTGGAATGTCAAGACTTGGGAGAAGGAAGTTAATGAGCATGATGTTAGTTGAATCACAATGACCAATATAATTTTTTGGATTCTTTCTATGATTCAATAATGTAACTTTTCTATTTTGGTTCAGCATATTTCATAATTACACCTATTCAGGATTGTGCTTATTTTGGCCTTCCTCATAAGGACCGTCGTTGAATGCAAATTGGCTGTCAAATTTTTGGTCTTTGAATCCATTTAAAATCAGAACACCTGCATTTTTTTGGCCTGGCTGGTTTGCTGTATTTTTCTTCTCCCTTAGTTCAGAGAATGTTTGGCTGTGCTCAAAATTACTTTCCTAGAAAGTGAGTTTATACTACTTTCTGGAAGAGTAAGTTTTGTTAGTGAAAAAAGTGAATTTGACAGCTATGTTTATCAAATTATGTAGCTTAAAACTGAGTTTTCTTATTTTTAAGCACATCAGCTTCATGTTATTTCTCAAATGGTTGTTGAAGTGTGTATTTTAAGAAGATAGCTAGAATTACAGTTGATGTTTTTGATCAATATGTATGAAGAATACTTGCAACGAAATTCCGAAATTATATGTCAATGTTTTTGCTGCAAAGGTGATTCACGTCGTTACTTTGTTTTTCATTTCAGGTGTTGGTTATGACACCTCAAGTTTTGTTAAATGCTTTAAGGAAGGGATTCTTGAGTTTTCAAGTATTATGTTTTATTATTCTAGATGAATGCCATTTTGCTACCCGTAAACATCCTTATGCAAAGATTATGAAGGTAACTTCATGCTTTCATTGCATAGTCATATTCCAATTTATCAGCATTTCCTTTTTTCTCAATTATTGCTGATTTCTTTTGATATTTGTTTGAAGTGTATTGTGCAAATTGTATTAGACTCTGTCTTATTTCATAACTCAATCTTGCTATAGTATCATTTGTGTGATAGTTACCCTTTACTCATTGCGTATAAATATGTAATTGAACAGTTGTATTCATTATTCTTGATGAAATAAAATATTCTATTTATCTTCCAGAATATTCTGCTCTTCGCCCGGTTCCCTCACTTTCTTGCCTGTCGTCCGTAAAGTAAATTTGTTACTGATCGGTATCTTCTAATTATGAAGGAATTTTATCACAAATCTTCCAACCGGCCCAAGATTTTTGGGATGACAGCTTCTCCTGGGATCAGAAATGGTAATCAGTTTTCTTTTTATTTTTATCTCTGTGGATGTTGTTAGATGTTTAAACATGGGAGACCATATTTTCTCTTTTAGTTCATACTGTTTTTACATAGTGTATATCATTCTTAAATGAATTGGTAATAAACAGGCCAAACAGTATTGTTTAGCGCAGCTAATTTAATAAATGAACAGGCAGGATATGGACAAGATGAATACCCGCTGTACTATACATTTTTGTTCTTTTGCACTATAGAAATAAAGCCAAATTTAAATTTAAATGAATCCAGCAATCCAAATTTAAATGATATGTACTTGTGTACGAGTCATTTATGCTTTTGAATATTGTGATCAAATGAGGAATGTCATACGAAATCAAGACAAAACTATGGGAAACGGGCTTGAGTTTCACGGAAATAAATAATAAACTGAAACGTAGTCAAAAGGAATATGCTATTCTTTTACATCCATCCAGGCCGTACTGCAGTAATTTCAATTAATATATCTGTCACTGTTAAATTAATTACACACCTAATTTTTCCCCCTTTTCTACATATCGACTACTTTGCACAACACTTAATAGCCCTTTCTGATTCAGGCGTCTTTTCCAACGGAGAATGTCAGGATCACATTTCGGAGCTTGAAAGTCTCTTAGATTCCCAGGTGACATTTGCTAATTCTTATCTACTGAATTTTCTGTATTGGCGGAACTTTTATTGATCACAACAGTTGCAAACCCTTAATTGTTGATTCTACATTTTTATACAGGTATATACAATCGAGGACAGGGTGGAAAGGAAAGAATTCATCCTCATGGCAAACCAGAATTCCAGACTTTATGATCCAGCCACATCTTCCAATTTGGAATTAAAAGAGGAATTAGAATCCTCACGTTCTAAGGTGAAATTTTTACTGTGTGAAGTTATTACAGATACACTAGAAATGGGAAAGGAAACGAGGAAGATGATTTGATTAATTCTGTGAAATATAATGTGAATTTTGGTTCAGCCTCTTCAAATTATGAATTCTTTATTTCATCAAGTGCAGCTTATTTCGTTGGAGATAGAAAAATTAGAACTAAATAATATCTTAATTAAGTATAGTAGAAGTTAAAAAGGGTCTGTTCAAAACTCTTCTCTGTTGCCAGAATATAATTCCTTTTGGTATTCTTGTGTGAAGGACCAATCTATTTCATGATTGTCGATTCTACGTTTTTATATAGGTATATACAATTGAGGACAGGATGGAACCGAAAGAATTCATCCCCTTGGCAAACCAGAATTGCAGACTTTATGATCAGGATTTGCCTTCCAATTTGGAATTGAAAAAGAAATTAGAATCGTCCTGTTCTAAGGTGAATTTTTTTAGCACGTGAAGACAATTTTGTGGTGGTAGTTATTACATATTACACCAGAGAAAGGGAAAAAGGAAAAAAGGAAAAAAATTTGGTTAATTTTGTAGAATTTAATTTGAATTTTGTTTCAGCCTCTAGATTAGTTCCTTTTCTTTGGTCCTATAGCAGTTTCCATTCATGAAATCATTATTTCATTTGGCCCCCGTTTGACCCCCATTAATTTCTATTACATTACATTATTCTCTCCCCTATTTTCAACCACACAATCTTTCATAAAATAATATTACACGTAAATCGAAAACTTTTCCTTCTTCAGCTACTCATTTTTCAAAAAAATACTATTCCACCCATTTTCAATTCTACAAAATGGGGCCAAATGGGGGCTTAGTGCATATTATTTGTAGGAGATAGATAAATTGGAACTAGATAATAGCTTAATTAAGTATAGTAATAGTTAGAAGAGTCGGGTCATTTAACTCCTCTATGTTGTGAGAATATAACTTCTTTTGGTCTTGTTGTGTGAAGGGCAAATCTATTTCATGATCATTGATTCTATGTTGTTATACAGGTATATACGAATGAGGACAGGACGAAACTGAAAGAATTCATCCCCATGGCAAAGCAGAATT